CTCTCTCTCTCTCTCTCTCTCATCTTTCCCTCCCTCACCACCACCACCCCCCAGTCCCAACAGGAGCCCTTTGTGTCTCCAAGCTCTGCGGGTGGCAGCCGGAATCTACTCCTCCCCACCCCTCAACACATGCCCAGCTTGGCAGGTCTAGCCATAGCTCCGAGACTCTCCGGTCCCATCACCCCAGCATCACAGCCCAGCCATCAGCTTCTGCTGCCCCCCAGCCTACCACTGGACTCAGGGCAGCTCCAGTGTGGGCTGAGGCCACCCAGTACTCCCCATCCACCCGAGAGACTTTCCACTCCCAGCTGGAAGCTGGACTGGCAGGCTGAGAGGGAAGGGGGGGGGGGATGGAGAATACGGACAAGGGGATTAGGGTGGGAAGAAGGGGTACAGCTGACTCGGTCACAGGCCAGAGGCCCAGCAGGAACGTGATAAGGATTGAGGCCCCGCCTGTTCCTAGGCCCGACTCAGCTGCCCCCAGCTCCTTGAGGACCTTATTGTTACCCATACGCCCTTGACCATCCCTTATTCTCTGACCTTCCCTCCTCCCACTTCCAGAGCTGTAGGTTTTTCCATCTCCCCTCCTCTGGGGCTTCTCTCCCCCAGGCAGCGCTGTGATAAGAGGACTGATTATTCTGCCACCCCCAGAGCTGTGTCCCTGTACCTTAGCGGTCCCCATCACTCCAGCAGGACGGCTCCCACAGTCTGCAATGTGCATTGTTCCCACACCCCAAGCCAAAGTGGGACCTGTGGGTTCAAGAGGGGATATGTAATCTGGGGGCTGGGAGAGGGGAGCCGAGGCCCCAGGGCCCTCCCTGAATCCCCTCTCAGCCACGCAGAGCTGCTAACCCTGTTTTTCCCCATTGCTCAGATGTATGGCCGGTACACTCAGGACCTTGGGGCTTTTGCCAAAGAGGAAGCTGCTCGGATCCGCCTGGCAGGGCCGGAGCCCTGGAGGAGCCCGCTGTCCCCTCCAGCTCCCCTGGAACTCCTCGAATACGGACAGAGCCGCTGTGCCCGGTGCCGCAGTGAGACTCTGGGGTTGGGCAGGGGATCTGGCTGTGCTGTACTGCGGGGGACAGAGGCCATTCATTAGAGCTGCCCATTGGGGGTTGGAGGCGGCAGGGGTAGGAGCACTTTGGTGCCAGCCCCCCGTTTTTTCCTTCCCTGCTCCCAGTCTGTTCCGTACGCTGTCATAAGTTCCTAGTATCCAGGGTTGGTGAAGACTGGATCTTCCTGGTCCTGCTGGGGCTCGTCATGGCGCTGGTCAGCTGGGCCATGGACTATGCCATTGCCGCCTGTCTGCAGGGTGAGGACAGGGCTGGCAGGGGCGGGCTGGGAAACGCCAACCTGCTTCCTCCATGCCAAACTTGTCCAAGTATCTTGGCTACTTGGCCGCCTGAGTGCCTGTCTTCAGACAAATCCCTGCCACTCCCATAGGCCGTGACTCCTCGCCTCCCCTCTCCAGCTGACCCTCTTACCTACAATGACCTCTCCCCCACTGAAGGCCTCTAGGGTCCCTCCCTGCCCCTTTACCTGGGCTCTGTATGACAGTCCCTGGGACAGCCTCTCCTATCAATATGGCCCAGTGGCCAGGCGGGGACTGGGTGTGCCCCGCAGGGGTCCAGCAGCACTTCCTCTCCCCACAGCTCAGCAGTGGATGTCTCGAGGCTTGAACACCAGCCTCTTGCTCCAGTACCTGGCCTGGGTCACCTATCCTGTCGTCCTCATCACTTTCTCAGCCGGATTTACACAGATCCTGGCTCCTCAGGCTGTCGGTACAGTAGGAAGAGAAGGGAAGGGCAGAGGTGGAGCCTCCTGCGCCAGGCCCATGACATGACTCTCCTGGGACTCTCCACTCTCCAGGGTCCGGCATCCCCGAGATGAAGACCATCTTGCGGGGCGTGGTGCTAAAGGAATACCTCACCCTCAAGACCTTTGTGGCGAAGGTCATCGGGCTGACCTGTGCTCTGGGCAGTGGGATGCCCCTTGGCAAAGAGGTAACTGCGGGTTGGGGAATAAAGGAGTCCCTCCCAGTGGAGGAAGAAGCCAGGCCAGGGTCAGGGCATGCTGCTTCCCCTCTCACCTCCTGACCCCCTCCCCCAGGGCCCTTTTGTACATATCGCAAGCATGTGTGCTGCGCTGCTCAGCAAGTTCCTCTCCCTCTTCGGGGGCATCTATGAGGTAAGGCGTACCCTGGAGGACGGTGGAGGAGGGTTTGGGCTGCCGAGCCCAGCTGATTCCCCGTCCACCACTCTCACCAGAATGAATCCCGGAACACAGAGATGCTGGCCGCTGCCTGTGCCGTGGGAGTGGGCTGCTGCTTTGCAGCACCGATCGGAGGTAGGCGGCCAGGGCAGCCCCCAGCCCTGCCCCGGGCCTTGCCTCCTTTACCCTTCTCGTTGGCTCTGAGTCCTGGCCCAGGCCCCGGCCTGAAGTGGCGCCCTCCCGGCCCCTCGCAGGTGTCTTGTTCAGCATTGAGGTCACCTCCACCTTCTTCGCGGTGCGGAACTACTGGCGGGGCTTCTTTGCTGCCACCTTCAGTGCCTTCATCTTCCGGGTCTTGGCGGTCTGGAACCGTGATGAAGGTGGGGGCACCTGGGGGATGCGGGGAGCCCCTGAGATGGCTCAGGCGGGGCCCTCGATGCTACACCTGCCTCCCTCTGCTACTCTGCCTTCCCTTCAGAGACTATCACTGCTCTCTTCAAAACCCGGTTCCGGCTTGACTTCCCCTTTGACCTCCAGGAGCTGCCAGCCTTTGCTGTCATTGGGTGAGGAGCTGTGGGAGCTGCAGCTGTGGGGGAGGAGGAGGTAAAAGAGGGAAGACCCCTCTTACCAGGATGCTTCTTCCCTCTCCAGTATTGCCAGTGGCTTTGGGGGGGCGCTCTTTGTCTACCTGAACCGGAAGATTGTCCAGGTGATGCGGAAGCAGAAAACCATCAACCGCTTCCTCATGAAAAAGTGGGTTGGCTTTGGGTGTGTGAGGGTCACAGGGCGGTGGGAGGGGGAGTGACAGGTGAGCTGGCCTCTAGTGGCCCAATCAAACACGGGCACTCCAGCCCTGGCCAGTTTTGCCCAGGGGTTAGAGTGTCCGCCCAAGGACCAAAGGGTCGAGAGTTCGATTCCGGGTCAAGGGCACATACCGCATTTGCTAGCTCGATCCCCAGCCCCAGTCTGGGCACACGCGGGAGGCAACCAATTGATGTGTCTCTCTCACATCAATTCTTCTCTCTCTCTCCCTCCTCCCTTCCCTTCACTCTCTAAAAATATCAATGGGAAAAAATACCCTCAGGTGAGGATTTTTTAAAATATAGGCACTCCATTGAGAAAATCAGCCAGTGGTGTTTTCCTGGCGGATTGAACTGGCACTTTTGAATTTGTAGTCAGTAGCAGAGGGATTCAGAGCTAAGACTTCCTAGCCCTGGCCTGGCGCAGATAGCAGGCCTCCGGGGGAGTGGATGAGCCTTTGTTTCCTCCGGGGAAGCATGGAGGTGGGCCAGACTTTTTCTTAATCTTCAGAGCACAGCTCTCTCAGTTGTGACCTGAGGGTTGGGAGGGGGAAGCCTGAGACGTGACTTTTGTTGGGACTAATGTCCTTCAGGGAAAGGGCAGCGGACTGCCTGCTCCCTGTGGCACCTTCGGGCAACTTCATTGTGACCCCAGCCTCTTTCCCCTAACACTGACCTTCAGCCTCAGTCACCACGGAGAAACAGACAGGGAAGAACCTCTTTCCTCTCGCACAAAGCCCTGCAGCTAGGGCTGCGGGGGGCAAAGGCAGGAGACACAGCTCAGAGGTGTCCCGCGAGAGCTGGGGGTGGACTTTCTGCCACTGCTGCCCACCGAGGGGGTTTGGCACCAACAGAAAGTTGTTGGGGCTCATGATAACCCCAGTGGCCACCACCCTCAGGGCCGTCACCTCATGAACAGCAAAGGGGACCTTCTCTCAGAACCGTGTGCTTTCATGTAAGAGCCAAGCTCTGCTGCGACATCCGCCCCGAGGTGTGAGGGCGCCCAGCCTCTCCCCTGTAGTACGTGCACCGCCCGTGTTTGATGCTGTGACACCTACCCCTCTAGACGCCTGCTCTTCCCGGCTCTCGTGACCCTGCTCATCTCCACGCTGACCTTCCCCCCTGGCTTGGGACAGTTCATGGCTGGACAGGTAACCCCAGCAGAACAGGAGCGTGTGCTTTTTCCTCTGGGATGCACCCCTCCTAAAGCCAACAGCCCCTGCCCCGCCAAGGGCCCCTTCCCTTCATCCTGTGTGTCCCCAGCCTGAGGCACCCTTTCCCCCTATAGCTGTCACAGAAAGAGACGCTGGTCACCCTGTTTGACAACCGGACATGGGTCCGCCAGGGCCTGGTGGAGGAGTTAGAGCCTCCCGGAACTTCACAGGCCTGGAGCCCTCCACGTGCCAATGTCTTCCTCACCCTGGTCATCTTCATTCTCATGAAGGTAGGGCTCCTTACAAATGGATAGCTAATGTTACACAGGCTTATTAGGTGCCAGGCACCGTTCTCAGCATTTTCCACATATTAACTCCTTTAAGCCTTACAACAGTGCTATGGAAAGGCACTATTAGCCTCCCTGTTTTAAAGATGGGCATCCAAGCCCAGCCAGTGTGTCTCAGTGGTTGAGCATCGACCCATGAACCAAGCGGTTACCGATTTGATTCCCTCTCAGGATGGTCAGGGCACATGCCCAGGTTGGCCAATCCCTAGTAGGGGGCATGCAGGAGGCAGCCTATTGATGTTTCTCTCCCATCAATATTTCTATCTCTCTCCCTTCCTCTCTAAAAATCAATAAAATTAAAAAAGAGCCCTAGCCAGTTTGGCTTAGTGGATAGAGCGTCGGCCTGTGGACTGAAGGGTTCCTGGTTCGATTCCAGTCAAGGGCACATGCCTGGGTTGTGGGCTTGGTCCCCAGTGGGGGGCATGCAGGAGGCAGCCGATCAGTGATTCCCTGTCATCACTGATGTTTCTATCTCTCTTTTCCTCTCTCTTCCTCTCTGAAATCAATTAAAAAAAAAAAAAGATGAGAAGTTGAGACATAAAGGGATCATAATTGGCCCAACATCACATAACTACTGGCAAAGTTAGAATTTAAACCCAAGCCATCTGATTCTGGAGCCCTTCATCCCTGGGAAATCTGGGATAGCTGGTAAATCTACATTTCCCTGATAAGCAATGTAGAGTCCTTGGGGTGGAGCTGGGGGCTACCAGGAGCCGGGTGGCACCTCTACCTGTTTGAACTGCCTTCCAACTACAGTTCTGGATGTCGGCCCTGGCCACCACTATCCCAGTACCCTGTGGGGCCTTCATGCCTGTCTTTGTCATTGGTGAGTCCTCAGTTGCCTGTTTCCCCTTCCCACCTTCTGGCTACCCCCTGGCCATACCCTCACTGCCGTGGAGTGGGTTTTGGTCCAGCCCCCGTCCCAGTGCCCACCCCAGAGGACTGTCCCCTGCACTGAATGACCCACTGGACCCTCCCCCACCCTCTGACCCTCTCTCTTCCTAGTGTTCCCACCCTCCCCCTCCACTACCTATTTCTCTTCCCACCTCACTCCCTGAAGGAGCAGCATTTGGGCGTCTGGTGGGCGAAAGCATGGCCGCCTGGTTCCCAGATGGGATTCACACGGACAGCAGCACCTACCGGATTGTGCCTGGGGGCTATGCAGTGGTGGGTGAGTGTTCCAGTTCCCCACAGGGTCTGAGGCTCTGGTGCCCCCTGCTGGCAGGAACCAGGCTTCCTTCAAATGCAGAAACCCAGTTCTCGGAACTGCCCTGGGCTGCCCTGAGGGTACCCAAAGGACTGTCCCCAGGTGGGGAGGGTCCTCTGGTCCCTGGGCACCCTGAGGAGACTAAAGGTGGCTTCCCTAGGAGCGGCTGCACTGGCAGGAGCAGTGACACACACGGTGTCCACAGCTGTGATCGTGTTTGAGCTCACAGGCCAGATCGCCCACATCCTGCCCGTCATGATCGCCGTCATCCTGGCCAATGCTGTAGCCCAGAGCCTACAGCCCTCACTCTACGACAGCATCATTCGAATCAAGAAACTGCCTTATCTGCCTGAGCTGGGCTGGGGCCGCCACCAGTATGGAGGGCCGGGCAACAGAGGGGTTATGGGTGAGGGGCAGAAGGTGGCCTAGGACCCCCTCACACCCACTCCAGCAGGGTCCACAGTCAGTGAAGCTGGGCGACCAGCCACCTTGCTCCCCCCTGTCCAGAGCTCGCCTTGTCCATACCCTGGCAGGGACTACTCCTTGGCCCTTAGTCCTTGTCCCCATGGGCTCTGGGCCTTCCTTATGGCCCTGCTGGTAGTGCTCCGGCTATCTGCCCCATGCTGACCACAAACCAAGTGCCTCTCTCTGCCCCCAGGCAGTACCGGGTGCGAGTGGAGGACATCATGGTGCGAGATGTTCCGCATGTGGCCCTCAGCTGCACCTTCCGGGACCTGCGGTTGGCTCTGCACAGGACTAAGGGCCGCATGTTGGCCCTAGTTGAGTCCTCTGGTGAGACCAGCAAGGGGCCAGGCGCTATGAGCCTCTCCCAGGGTTGCTGCTCAGGAAGGGGGGGGGGGGGGACAGGAATAGCAGGCATTTGCCAGGCAGGCCTTGCCCCCTGGTGTGTGGCCTGTGTCCAAGGCCCCACTCTGAGTGCCGGAGAAGGTTGGGGGTGGGGAGGAGGGCCTCACTGTCCTGAGTCCTCAGGCTCCTGAGTCCTCCCACCTGCTCTGTTCAGAGTCGATGATCCTCCTGGGCTCCATTGAGCGCTCACAGGTGGTGGCACTGCTGGCGGCCCAGCTAAGCCCAGCCCGCAGGCGGCAGCACCTGCAGGAGCGGAGAGCCGCCCAGACTCCTCCGCCACCCGATCAGGAGAGCCCCCCCAGCCCTGAGAGCTCAGTCCGCTTCCAGGTAGGGCAAGCCCTGCAGTCGCACACACCTCCTCCTAACTGTGTGTAGGCTGTCAGGAGGGCGACCCAGAGGAGTCCTGGGGCCACAGCCTCACCAGCCCCTTTGCCCGCGCAGGTGAGCACAGAGGGCTCGGGCTTCCCTGCAGCCCGGGGGGACACTCACAAGCCCCTGAAGCCTGCTCTCAAGAGGACATCCAGCAACTCCATGAGCCTCAGAGAGAGTCCCCCAGGTGAGCCCAGCACCCGCTAGCACCCCTCCACGCTCCCACAGAGCCGAGCCCGGCCTCTGAGACCACACAAGGGCCCCTGCGCCCCTTTGAGCTGGGGCACATCCCAGTGAAGAGGCTGCCTGAGTGGACCAGGGGTAGAACCAGGGTGCCTCTCCCCGTGCCCTCCTCCCCTCTCCCCCAAAGATGACATTGCCCCAGGGCCTTGTGTTTGGGAACACAGGGAATGTGGAGCAGGCTGGCATCGCCCTCAGGAGCCTCTTCTGTGGCAGTCCGCCCCCCGAGGCTGCTTCAGAGGTGAGTGGCTGGAGCCTCTCCGTCTAGCTCAACCTCTAATGCTGAGATAACCTCTCCAGTAGCCCTGTAGCACCTGCTTCCATTCTCCTGCCCTTCTGCCCTCCTGGACGCCAGCTCTATCCTTGCAGTGCACCCTCCCCCCCCACCCCCCACCACACTTCTCATCTCCCTCCTTCTCTCCCCCTCGGCTCTAACAAAGTTGGAGAAGTCGGAACCATGTGACAAGCGCAAGCTGAAGCGGGTCCGAATTTCCCTGGCAGTAAGTGCTCACTTCTTTCTGCAGCTCAGGAGCACTAGACAGGGCAGGCCAGGGCCTGGGTGATAGACCTCCCCCAGTGGGGGGACATGCGCCCTTTCCCCAGCCCCAGCTGCCAGCCTCCCTCCCTCTCTCCTAGAGCGACTCAGACCTGGAAAGTGAAATGACCCCTGAGGAGGTAAGGTGTGACTGGACTCTGGACTCTGTTTCTTCCGGGATGTGTTCAGTCATCATCTTGGCTTCTGTCCCCATGGGAGGGACCATGGTGTAGGAAAAGGGGCAGGCCAGCTTTCAGGGAGGTGAGGGCCGCTGATGGCCCCTTCTCCCTAACCCTCCTAGTCTCATACCCTCAGATTCTGGAGTGGGAGGAGCAGCAACTAGATGAACCTGTCAACTTCAGCGACTGCAAAATTGACCCTGCCCCCTTCCAGCTGGTGGAGCGGACCTCTTTGCACAAGGTAGGGCCAGCAACCTGGGGCTGGCCTGGGTGGGGATCTAGGTCCTCCCACAAGTTTGGGCTCAAGCCAGTGGGCAAAAAAAGGGACAGCAGAGAGTGGACTCTGTGCTGAGCTGTTTTTCAAACACATCGCTTCCAACGGTGGGAGGCCAGGCGCGAGGTTCCCTCAGCCTCTTCCTGCCTGCGGTGGAATCAAGCATCATTTTTCCTCTTCTCAGCCTTGCCCCCAGGGAACTCTGGACCGAAGCAGCAACAAAGACTGGGCTCAAGCTGGGTAGAAGCCAGGAGGCCAGGCCAGGGTCAGAGCTAGGAGGGAGGCTGCCAGCTCCCAACAAGGCTGATACACCCACACTGAAAAAAATGGGTGAGAAACAGGCAGGAAAAGAAAGTCTAATAAATAAGCTAACGAACATCCAAGTAGGGGTGGGGATACTGCAGAGATGAGATAAACAAAGATGAGAAACGCCCAGTGGGGGGCTTGGAATGTCAGACCCCAGAAAGTTTCACTTCATGTAGGCCAGAGGGAACCGGGTGAGGACGCAGAGAGAGAGCTCAGCAGAAGGCAAAACCAGCCTGCAGAACGGGAGGAAACTTGCGTGCAGACAGGTGGGTGGTGGGTGGGGCTGACATTAGAGAACAGGGCTCTGTGGAGGACGGGCGGCCTTGGCTCCCCGGAATGGGGCAGTGGCATCGTTGGGCACCTTCAGGCCTCTCAGTGAAGGCAGGGCGTGCAAGCACACCCCGCAGGCTGCTGGGGCAGAAACCAAGGGGGTGTTTCAGCTTAATTGTTAGATTTAATGTGCAAACCTCTGAGGTGTGGGGGCCGGGGCCAGTGGGGGGAGCACTCCCAAGGTCTGCAGTTTGGACAGCTAACTTAGATGCAAGCTGTGCCTCAAAGCCAGTTTAGTGTAGACAAGCAGGAGCCCTGGCAGGGAACAAAAGAGAAACAAAAAAGCAAAAAAGTATTAAAGGAACTTATAAGCCTTTTGGTAAAGACCTCTGATCAAAGTGAGTGAGGAACTGCAGTGCAATTGCAAGATAAAAAGGAGGTAGGCCTAGGAGGTAGACCTGAGAATAATACATTTGGCTTTTATTTAAAGCAGTGGTGGGGAACCTTTTCTCTGCCAAGGCCCATTTGGATATTTGTAACATCATTCACGGGCCATACAAAATTATCAACTTAAAAATTAGCCTGCTATATTTGGTCAAACATTTTATTAACTCACCCCTACTGCCTTGGCAGGGCCAGACCAAATGATTTTGCGGACCTTATATAGCCCGCGGGCTGGACATTCCCCACCCTGATTTAAAGCCTTTCCTCCTAAGACCGCTACTAAAGCTTTTCCATCATCTTACTTAGTTCTCAAACATGACATAAAGATGAGGATGATGCTGACATTTTATTAGTGCCTGCGATGTCTCAGGCACTGGACTAAGCTATTCACATGTTTGATGTAATTCTCACAACCACAGATAGTGTGATAGTCCAGTTTTTATAGAAGGGGACATTGAAATTCAAAGTAGTTAAGCAATTTGGCCAAGAGATCACATAGCCAGTAAGTAGCAAAATCCAAGATTGACCCAAAAGCCTGTGGGTTTAACCATTTTAATACATGGGGAAACTGAGGCAGTGAGGTCACTTGCCTGAGTCAGTATAGCGGAGTCAGGCCTAGAGCCCAGATTTCCTGGCCCCAGTCCCAGTATTCTTTCAGAGGGCCACGCTGTCCCTCTCCCTTTCAATTCACTGTTCCCAAGCCCAAGAAATGCAGGCTCTCCAATGAGCTCCCTGGTGTCTAATTAAATTAAAATGAAAAAGAACAAAGTAGGTGTTTGTTACAAACTTTAAAAAAAAAATCAGAGGAAGAGAAACCTTTGAGGAACCGACTACCAAAAGTACAAAGAACTGGAAGTGATAAGAACATAAGATTAGAATTCAAAATGTCCTTGCAGGCCCGAGGAGTCAATAAGTAGTAGCTCAATTAAGTTCAGGAGGGGAACATCCAGAGGGGCAAGGGAATACACTGGAGACTATTTAGGAAGCTGTGCAACTGGAGATCACTCTATCAGCTAAGTACCGCATTCATTCAGAGGGACCTACCGAGAAGCAGTGACTGGAGGTGGGGGAGGAAGTAGAGTGCCAGCACTGGGTCAGACTGGCTGACCCTAATCCTCACTCCGCCCAGCGTTGGCTAGCTGTGTAACCTTGTCAGATTTCTTAGCGTCTCTGTACTTCACTCTCCTTATCTGTAAAATGGGGATCTTAGTCCCTACATCATAGGGTTTTTTCTGAGGATTAAGGGAGGTCACACATGTGAGCCAGTTAGAAAAGTACCTGGCACATAGTAAGTATTCAATATATTTTAGAAATTACTACTAGTTATGCTTAGAGGTGAAAAATAGGGGGCTTTACGAGATGGTGTAATGAAGGAAGTGTGCAAGAAATTGATATTTTCAGAGTAGGGTGAGTGATTAGGTGAGGCTGGAAGCTGGAGTGTCTGGTGGAATCTGAGAACAGAGAGACAGACTGAGGTGTGCTTGAAAAGGGTCCTGCGGGCCATTCTGGGGTGTCTGGGCTCTAACTCGAGATTGAGAAAGCTGATAGGATGGCAGAGCCAAGTTGGATAGAAGGGAGGCAGAAAGGAGAACTCATTAAGATGTGATAGTCCCACCCTGGCCAGTGTGCAAAGTGGTTAGAGCATCAGCCTGCGTACCAGAGTCTCAGGTTCATTTCCAGTGAAGGGCACATACCTGGATTGCAGGTTTGATCCCCAGCCCCCCAGTCAGGGTGAGTGTGCCTCTCTCACATCTATGTT